TTGTTGAAGGGATAAATAGAAATGGGGTGAACGGTGGATTAACGCCGTTAGCCACTGTAGATATGAATCACATGCCAAATTATATATCTATCGACCTAATCATAAGGAGTTCAACAAAACTGAGTTTGCTATTTTATAATGTTTCTACTAATTACTATGCATTTTAGTAATTTTAGCCTATTTTCTGCATAAAGAAAAAGATAACAGAAAATAGAAAACCATTTTTCACCGGGGACCCTGGGGTTCTAAGGATTTGCATCACTATTCATATGAGTCACAGGATTTGCATCTGGAACCCTAGAAAACTTCCCTAATCTATTTTTCACCTTTCTTCTTCCACCTAAGGACTAGAGCCGAAACAGAGAGGCCAGGCCCGTCCGCCGCCTGCCCCAGGCCCGTCTGCCGCCTAGGCGCGTCCACCGGCCGCCCCAGGCGCGTCCTCTGCGACGCTGCCTGCCCCACGCGCGTGCGCTGCGCCCGCTCTACGCGCGTCCGCTGCCTGCCGCAGGTGCCGCCGCCGGAAGCTCCAGGCGCTGCCGCCGGCCGCTCCCCTGCGCCTCTCACGGCTCCTCTCCGCGCTAGCTGACGGCATGAATCGGGGATGACCCCGTCCCCTCGATTTGGAGGGACGGGAGTCATGCGGATATTCTACGAATATTCCTTGCGGGACGTCCCAGCCCCATGCGACTCTAAACCAAACAAGCTGAGGAAGAGGTCCATCTCATCCTATCCCATCAAATCCCAGGAACTAAACACTGCCTTAAAGCATAGAAAGCCAAAGAGAACCACATAGAAGACGGTAACTGAGAATGTCCAACCAAAGAAATAACGTGTCACGTTGTGACCTACAATGTTATACACTAGTCATGATGTCTTTTTTTTTTCTACGGTTTTGTTTGAAAGCATGATGTGTTTGTTAAAGCGCCTTTGCTCCTGTACTGCTCAACCGAACAATTGTACTTATTAGATTAGAAGGAGCTCTCAGAGGCTCTTTAACACTTTAACCAAAAAGCTGGTTTTGGAGGCACTAAACAAACTTTGACTCCCCCACAAAAAAACTCACCCTTAATCCATTCCCCTTTTTTTTAAAAACTACCACTTTTAACTAATTTTGTCTCCCGTTGTCACGTGGCCTACGCCTAGTCACTAGCCCGTTGTAGCCAGTAGTAGCAGCCCAACCAGAAACGGATTGCCAACAATTTGACCAAGAGGCAGACAACCATAGCCGGCTACAGACGCCTATATTCGGGTAGGAATGAATGAGCTATCATCCGATTGACCTGGTTAGGCAACGAGGCTCTAGTCAACTACCTGGCCCGGGACAAGTACTTCATTACATACACGAGAAAGGTCGTTGAGTTATTTGGTTGGCAGCCGGTTAGGCAACTTTGCCTACCAGGCAAAAATCCTACGCTGTTGATTTTGGTCGCTAGATAGTTAGGATCGCTATCTGGCAAGATTAGCTGTTTGCTAGGCTTCGAACCAAATAGGTGCGTCATGCACACAAAGGGGACAGGGGAGTTGGGAGAGGGCAACAACACATGCCATATCGGATTGGAGAAGAACGCATCTCATCGGCTCTAGCGAGAAAGATGGGATGAGGGAGAGCTTGTTTGGCCACCTATTAGAGCATTTTTTTTTAAAAACCCAAAAATAGTCAAGATGAGTCTTTTACTTAGCTTGTTGGAGGGCTCTGTCTCAAAGAGAGCAGAGCAATTTTTTTTTTAAAAAAGAGCGAAAGCGAATCCCCTATGTTGATATCCTACCAAAAATTAAGAATAACCATCATCTCTAGGACAATTGTACTTATTAGATTAGAAGAAGCTCTAAGAGGCTCTTTAACACTTTAACCAAAAACCTGGTTTTGGAGGCACTAAAAAAAACTTTGACTCCCCCACAAAAACAACTCACCCTTAATCCATTCTCCTTTATTAAAAAAAAACTACCACTTTTAACCAATTTTGTCGACCTGCTCTGATCAAAAGGTGTCATGTCACATGCTGCCACCCGTTGTCACGCGACCTATGCCTAGCGACTAACCCACCGTGGCCAGCAGTAGCAGCCCAACCAGAAACGGATTGTCAACAAGTTGACCAAGAGGCAGACAACCATAGCCAGCTACGTACACCTATATTCGGGTAGGAATGAATGAGCTATCATCCGATTGACCTGGTTAGGCAATGAGGCTCTAGTCAACTACCTGGCCCGGGGTGAGTACTTCATTACGTGCACGAGAAGGTCGCTGAGTTGTTTGGTTGGTGGCCGGTTAGGCAACTTTGCCTGCCAGGCAAAAATCCTAGGCTGTTGATTTTGATCGCTGGATAGTGTCAGGATCGCTATTTGGCAAGATTAGCTGTCTGTGAGGCTTCGAACCAAACAGGTGCGCACAAAGGGGATAGGGGAGTTGGGGGAGGGCAACATCACATGCCAAATCGGATTGGGGAAGAACACGTCTCACCGGCTCTAGCGAGAAAGATGGGATGAGGGAGAGTTTGTTTGGCCAACTATTGGAGCATTGTTTTTTTTAAAACCCTAAAAATAGCCAAAGGGAGTCTTTTACTTAGCTTGTTGGAGGGTTCTGTCTCAAAGAGAGCGGAGCAATTTTCAAAAAAAAGAGCGAAAGCGAATCCCCTGTGATGACATCCTACCAAAAATTAAGAATAACAATTATCTCTAGGACAATTGTACTTATTAGATTAGAAAGAGCTCTAAGATTAAACAAAAACCTGGTTTTGGAGGCATAAAAAACTTTGACTCCCCCAGAAAACAACTCACCCTTAATCCATTCTCTCTTTTTTTTTTTAAAAAAAAGCTACCACTTTTAACCAATTTTGTCGACTGCTCTGATCAAAAGGTTGCACCGTCATGTCACATGCTGCCACCCGTTGTCACGCGGCCTACGCCTAGCCACTAGCCCACCATAGCCAGCACTAGCATCCCAACCAGAAACGGATTGTCAACAAGTTGACCAAGAGGTAGACAACCATAGCCAGCTCCAGACACCTATATTCGGGTAGGAATGACTGAGCTATCATCCGATTAATCTGGTTAGGCAACGAGGCTCTATTCAACTACCTGGCCCGGGACAAGTACTTCATTATGTGCACGAGAAAGGTTGCTGAGTTGTTTCGTTGGCGGCCGGTTAGTCAACTTTGCCTGCCAGGCAAAAATCCCAAGCTGTTGATTTTGGTTGCTGAATAGTCAAAATAGCTATATGGCAAGATTAGCTGTCTACCACGCTTCGAACTAAACAGGTGCGTCGTGCGCACAAAGGGGATAGGTGAATTGGGAGAGGGCAACAACACATATCATATCGGATTGGGGAAGAACACGTCTGACCGGCTGTAGCGAAAAGATGGGATGAGGGAGAGCTTGTTTGGCCACCTATTGGAGCATTGTCTTTTTTTAAAAAACCAAAAAAATAGCCTAGGGAGTCTTTTACTTAGCTTGTTGGAGGGCTCCGTCTCAAGGAGAGCAGAGCAATTTTCGAAAAAGAAAAATAAAGAGCCAAAGCAAATCCTATGTGATGACATCCTACAAAAAAATAAGAATAATATAATTATCTCTAGGAGTATTATAGAAACGAAAACTACTAAACTGCGGAGTAATTCCATAGACTGTTGTTGTCCATGGAGATGGAGCAGCCAAACGGGTCGTGGACTCATGGTCGTGGTCAGTCGTGGCTCGTGGGAGATGACGGGACGGTTGTGTGATGGTGGGGACCACATCCACCGCACCTTCTTTTTGCGCCGAAAAGACCTGGTGGGCCCCCACCTGACCTGTTGATTTGCTGACGATTCCTTCCCTCCCCGCCTATATATATTGGGCCCTGCGGTGCAGGCTTCCAGCACCAGAGCCGCAGTACCAGTACACAGCTCCGCACTCGCAGGGCGAACCACGCGACAAAGGAAGTTGCGCAGACGGCGAGGCAGCCAGACGGCCGTTCCCTCTCCCCTGCCGCCGCGGCGGCCATTTCTTCGCATCTCCTCGCCGGCCGTCGCTGAGCGCAGAAGAAAGGTTCCCCCCATCGCTGTTGCCCACCTGTTCTCTGAGATCTGCGATGTTCGTTTGATTTCTTGGATTGTTTGGAGCTTTCCTTTTTTTTTTTTTTTTCTCGAACGCGCGGTGAATTCTTTTCGAGCGACGCGGTTTGGTTTGGGATCTGCTGGGTAACGGGGTCCAGCCACTGCAGTCTACGGTGACCTCTCGTCTCCCTGTGGGGACGATTGGAAAGGAAGCAGCCTGTTTGCTTGCACATAAATGATAGTAAATTTCTAATTTGGAATAGTGTTTTTTTTTTCACACCAAACCAATCAACAGTAAATAATCCACAATACGATACGATACGGCCTCCCGAACGAGCAACCCGTCGCTCGGTTGTTTCTTGGCTCTTTCGCTTTGTCTCGCACCGTCAGTTCTTCTTGATGATTACTTCTGTTTCTTGTTTTGGCTTTGTTCTGTTACAAAAGAAGCTCTCGTGGACACACGGTTTCTTTTCTTTGAATCGGTGGGGTTCTTGATCCATACCCATGTGTTCGAAGCTTCTGATCTAAGAATTTTCATGGATTTTCAGATGTATATGTTTTTTTATTTAAAAAAGACTGTCCGATGAGAACGAGGTTTTCTTGCCTACCACATGCTCTTTATTGGTTCCGCTCCGTGAGTCGTGGGGGTTTCGATGAGGAACAGTGCTCCATATTTTTATATCCAAAAAAAATCTTTAAGTTGTCGCAGTTCTTTCTTCTCCCGGAATTAAAGTTTAACAATCATTTATGGAATTTATGATGTGAGTCTTCTTTCATATTTCTTCTTGGATTCTTGGATATTAACGTCGAACGGTGAAATGCGATTTGTTTCCCTATTTCCCCGCCAGCACCTTCCATCTTTATTTCCGTCTCCGTTGCCTTCCTTTCTTTTCGTGCGAGTTGCAACTGCGCTGTACTAGTAGTTGATCATGGGCGCTTGATCTTTCCCAGGGGCGTGAGGCGTGAGCAACTGCCATGGCGAGTCATCAGCGCGGAGGAGGTCGGGTTGGCGGCCGGGGTCAGGCGAACCCCAACGTCGTTCAGGGCCAGGGGGCGGGGGCTACGGCGGCGGTGGCGGGCGTGGCGGCCAGTACTACGGCAGCGACGACAGCGGAGGCCGCGGCGGCGGACGTGGTGGCGGCAGGGGCGGTGGTCGTGGCTTCGACGGCCGCGGCGGCGGGTACCAGGAAGGGGGCCGCGGGGGCCGAGGCGGCGGAGGATTCCAGGAAGTACGTGGCGGAGGCCGAGGTGGCGGCGGCTACCAGGGCGGCGGCCGAGGTGGTGGTGGCGGCTACTACGAAGGACATGGCGGAGGCCGAGGTGGCGGCGGCGGCGGCTACCAGGGCGGCGGCCGAGGTGGTGGTGGCGGCTACAACGACGGCCGTGGCGGGGGCCGAGGTGGTCGCGGCTACCAGGGACAGGGAGGCAGCGACTACGGCCGCGAGCGTGGGCTTGGAGGTCTGCAACCTCCACGTCCTGATCTGCGCCAAGCCGGTCCGCCGCTTGCGGATCGCTACGCGGCCGACGCGGCCGCGCTGAGGGAGAAGTTCAAGACGATGGACATCTACCGCGACGCGCCCATGTTCCCAGCGCGCCCGGGCTTCGGCGCCGTGGGGACGCTGTGCGTCGTCAAGGCCAACCACTTCTTCGTCGGCCTCGTCGACAAGGGCCTGCACCACTACGACGTAAGACCGCTCTCCGCGCCGCGTTGTCAATCCATCGTGGCGTTCATCTGATCACCGTTTCCCACCGTTGCTATGGTGGTTTGTGTGTTTCTGCAGGTGACCATCTCACCAGAGACGACGCTAAAGGGCATATACAGGCAAGTCATGTCGAAGCTGGTTTCTGAGAACAGGCAGACCGAGCTTGGCGGCCGCCTACCCGCATACGACGGCCAGAAGTCACTGTTCACCGCCGGCGAGCTGCCCTTCAAAAGCAAGGAATTCGTGGTCACCTTGCCTGGCAGGGTGGAAAAGAGGTACAAGGTGGTGATCAAGCATGCCACGGCGGTCAGCCTGCACCCGCTGTTCATGCTCATGGCAGGCTACCCTACGGACATCCCGACGCAGGCGCTGCAGGTGCTCGACATTGTGCTGCGTGACATTGTGCTCAACGAACGCAACTCCATGGAGTAAGTACTTGGCTTGGGTTTATTTTACACCTCTCAGCGTTCTCGATTTGAGATAACGTTTTCATTCTATTATTTTGACAATGCGCAGGTACGTTGCAGTTGGCCGGTCCTTCTTCTCACCACTCATAGCGCCAGAGGGACCCAAGAATCTTGGCCTGGGTGTGGAGGGATGGAAGGGTTTCTATCAGAGCATCAGGCCTACACAGAAGGGCCTGTCTGTGATCGTAGGTATGATTTCACTTGTACATTGGAATTCTTATGATCTGTCTAAGTTTTCTGTGATATCTTGAGAAAACACGTCTGGGATGCTTATATGGTAGAAACGATCTGCACTGTGCAATTTGATTTCATATGGCTGGTTGACATATAGGGAGATCAACTGGAACGTCTGTACTTTTGTGTTTCAATTGAAAGGAGTCTTTCAGATTCCAGTTCAAATTTTTGTATGTTTTATTAAGATGTCTGACGGCTGCATATTTCCATTGCAGACATTTCTTCGACAGCTTTCATTCGACCCATGCCACTGATTGAATTTGTGATGGAGATTCTGAACAAAGATAGCAGGACCTTTAGAAGTATTACTCCCATGGATCTTGTCAAGGTAGGTTATTTTTTTTTCATTTCTAAGCTACAAAGAGCATTGTGCATGAGATGGATTTGGCTCTTCTGAATTTGCAGCTCAAGAAAGCCCTCAGGGGTGTGAGGATTGAAGTCACACACCGAGGAGACGCACGCCGGAAGTACAAGATTGCCAGCCTGACAACCAGTCCTCCTTCTTTACAGTTGTAGGACCTCAGCTGTTCCTCTAGGACCTCACATCCTTTTCCTCTATTGTTGAATAGAACATCCTTGTCTCCCTTGAGTTCAGAAATGCAGGGATCAAACTTCCAACGATGTTAGCGTTTATTTTGATACTTTTGATGTTGGAAAGAGAACAGCTTTGAATCGTCCGGGTATCTGGAGTTCAGTTCAGAAGTCTGTCGTTAGATTACTTTGAGAGAGAGGCATACAAGCTGGAAATGCACTACGATTTTCTCCCATGCCTCCAAGTTGGCAGTGATCAGAGGCCGAACTACCTCCCTATGGAGGTTACTGACTATGGACTTGAACTGTGGCCTATGCTTCAGCACTCTTTCCCTTCTATATTGTCTGCTCTTGTTTCTTAATTTCCATTTGGACTTCAGGTTTGCAAGATAGTAGCTGGACAGCAATACCGGAAGAAGTTGGATAGCCAACAAGTCTCTAAACTAATGGACTCAACCTGCCAGCGTCCATCTGACCGTGAGAACAACATTCGTCAGGTTTTTGCTATTTCTGCATTTTTTTTCTGTTTTATCTGATTTAAACTGTGGGTAAACAAACTTAAAGTTCTCTAAATCTCTTTTGCTTAGGTTGTTGAGCACAATGACTACAATAGAACTGAGCGTGCAAGTGAATTTTGCATGGAGGTTGACTATCGTCCTACTTCAGTTCAGGCTAGAGTCCTGCCAGCTCCCACTGTAGTCCTCCTTCCATGTGTCATGCAGTTTTGTTTTGTTTTTGCAAATGTGATGCATTTTTTATTATAACCATGTTCTATTTTTGTTTCTGTAGCTGAAGTACCGTGGCACTGGATCTGAAAGCTTGTGTAGTCCAAAGGATGGGCAGTGGAACATGATTAAAAAGGTACGTCATGAGCAGTTGAACAACCATTGACATTGCAGCATTTTGAAAACCTTATCTAATTCAATGTGCGGTCAACATAGTATTGTCTATGGACAAGTAAATCCTTTCTGTGCTAAATATCATGATTTATAGGTGAAACTTGACTCGTTGCTTGAGTTTTGTTCTCTCTATACTAGGCGTCTCTTCTGTCATTACCCCAATAGGCTAGCTACATGTTCACTCAAGTGGTCCTATTTCTTGCACTGGAATAATGGAATTTGTGAGGGTAAATATATGTTACTAATTTTTTTCATTGTCTTCACATTCTATTTTGTTATGTGCAGCAAGTAGTACATGGTGCAAGGGTGGGCCACTGGGCCTGCGTTAACTTTTGCCATGAATTGCCCAGAGATGTTGTTGGTAAATTCTGCTCTGATCTGGTTAAATGGTCTCGTACTACTGGAGTGGTAATCTACATTTACGTTATGCCTTTGATTGCCTTATCATCAAAGAACATTCTTGCATGACTCCCAGTTTACCATTTCACTCTGGTTTCAGGACATGGATAACTTGAGACTTCCAATATACCTTGTTCGTCCTGAACAAGTTGAAACTGATCTTCATAGGCTGTGTCAGGATGCCCGGAACAAGCTAAGAGTGCAAAAGATAGATCTTTTGCTTGCTATACTGCCAGAGAAAAACGGCAACTTATATGGTAATATTTCTTACAGCAAACTTTCTTTCTTCCCTGATTATCACATATATGTCATTCCTGACTACTCTGAACAACAGGTAATTTCAAAAGGATCTGCGAGACAGAGATTGGTATCATGTCGCAGTGTTGCCTGGATAAAAATGTTAGAAGTGCAGGTCCTCCGTACTTTGCTAATGTTGCTATTAAGATCAATGCCAAGGTTAATCTCAACTAGATCTTTTCACAAAATTTGTTGAGCAACATGATACTAATGTATTCACTCTCTCCGCAGTTTGGAGGAAGGAACTTAGAATTTGCTAATCCCAAAGAAAGCTTACCGGTTGTTTCGATTGAACCAACAATTATATTTGGTGCCGATGTCACTCACCCAGCTGCTCTAGATGATACTGCCCCTTCCATTGCTTCTGTAAGCTCTTTTCTGTTTACAATAGGGATAGTATCATCTCATTACAATAACACATTCTGCCTGGTTCCATGTAGGTTGTTGCCTCCCAAGACTGGCCCAAGGTGGCTAACTATAGTGGCATTGCCCGTGCACAAGGTCACCGTAAAGAGCTCATCGATGGCCTGGAAGACATTGTCAAGTACGACCATCGTGATCTCTGAAATTTAAATGACACCCCATTGAGAGTTTACACTCGATTGAGAGTTCCTTAATTTACAAAATATTTGCAGGGAACTCCTACTTGCATTTGAGGAACGGTCTAAGCAGAGACCCAAGCAGCTGATCTTCTACAGGTTAGTAACTTAGTATCTTGTTGCTTTTCTGACTGATGCCATGATAATTGACAAACCCACCCCTTCTTTCACCGTTAGGGATGGCGTAAGTGAGGGCCAATTCAAACAAGTGCTGGAACAAGAAATCCCAGAGATAGAGAAGGTAAAAACAAATTGAGAGAATGGCACTTCAAGTGTTCCCTCAGTTACAACATTCATACTTAATACCTACCCTTCAGGCATGGAAAGCTCGTTACAATGAGAAGCCAAAGATCACCTTCATAGTGGTGCAGAAGAGGCACCACACAAGGCTCTTCCCCAGTGATCGCCAATGGACAGACAGGAGTGGAAATATTCTACCTGGTTAGGAGTGCAGGCGTGTTTGCTGCTGTTTTTAGTGTGTTTTTTAACAATGATTTTGCTCAAATGTTTCTGGAATTTGCAGGCACTGTAGTTGATAAGAATATCTGCCACCCAACAGAATTTGATTTCTTCCTGTGCAGCCATGCTGGTATCAAGGTATGTGTGTAGCATGTTGCAACTAATTTTGACATTTTTTTCCAAATGCTTCTGAAGATTAGCTGCTTGCAAAATTGCAGGGAACAAGCCGTCCTACACATTACCATGTGCTGCGAGATGACAATAAGTTCACTGCAGATGCTCTGCAGTCTCTCACATATAACTTATGCTACTTGTAAGCATGCCCTTTCCTGCCATCTTGTTTTTTGCTCAACTCATTTGTCTGACGGGTCTCTCTTGTATTTTCTTCCAGGTATTCAAGCTGCACTCGCTCTGTGTCAATCGGTATGTTCTCTCGTGTCATCGAGAACTTTAGTTATGTATTTTCCAGTGCAAAACATTGCTATGAATTTTTTTTGTATTTAATTTAATATAAAACTGCTTCTGTTCAACATAAATACGTAACATATTATGAATGGAAAAAGGGATAAACTTAGGAAATAACCTTATTTTGAATTGACAGCTCCTCCCGCATACTACGCCCACAAGCTAGCGTTCCGTGCCCGCTTCTACGTCAACCAAGGCTCCGATGCAGCGACAAGTGTCGGCTCTTTTGGTTCATCTGCTCCCGCGGCTGCTGCTGCTGCTGGTCCGAAGCCACTTCCGGAGATCAAGGGTGAACTGAAAAGGCTCATGTTCTACTGCTAGTCCTTGACCACTGAAAACCTCCTGAACAAGGCTTTGCTACTGAAGTCTCAAGTCCCTTGACTGTGCTCTGAAGGAGACTTGGATAATAGTGTCTGCACTGGATGCATTTTTCTGTTCGCTGTTCCTTAAAGTACTGCTATAATTGCAGTGACTGATTTGTGTTAGTTTGTGGTTTGCATTTTATTTGATAAACAATCGAAGTCTTTGCTCAAGTTCAATACTATATCCAGTTATTCAGAATGGCAGTCGTGTATTCGGCATGCATGTACTGGTTTAACTTGCAGTCCTACTAAGGTTTCCCTTGAAGTAGTTGCATGAATTTTATTCATCACTTTTTTGACGGCTAGGGGTAATCAAAATAAAGATGATATACTCTCTATTCTAAATTATAAGATATTTTGGCTTTTCTAGATTCATAGCTTTTGTTATGCATTTAGGTATAGTGTATGTCTAAATACATAACAAAAACAATGTACCTAGAAAGCCAAAACTCTTGTAAGTTGAAAGGAGTATATTACATATGGCACGAGCAGGCAAGTCCCAGTATTTCCGTAGGAGATCAGCAATGCAATTGTGAATACTTGCAACACAAAAGATGTCACGACGAAATAGGCCACCAAATCGTTTCCGGTCTATCCTCGGAAAAAAAAAATTGTATCGGTATCTATGGAGATATATATTGGTGTATTCGGCTTTAGACACAAGTTCTCTGATGGTGCTGCAATAGATAAAAAATACATATGGCTGATTTGTTTTATCCATTGCTCCCTATATTCAAAATCGTAGACCATTTTCGCTTTGTCCTAAATTAAATTTCTGACCAATTAAATGGTAAAATACACCAATATAGTTTGTCTTCTGTCTCATTATTTTTTTCATAAAATATATCCTGATAACATAATTATTTGAACACCTAGATATTGTCATATGTTATAAAAAATTTGTCAAAATTAGAAGTTTAAGTTAAGACAAATCTAAAGTGATCTATAATTTGGTAAAGAATAGCGTCATGCTTACTTCCTCCGTCCCTAAATATTTATCGCCGGTGAAATAGCAAGATGTCCCGAAATAACTTTCGTTTCCACATGTAGCTGCACTGTCGAGCAGGAAGCCTTATCCCTCCCTTTCCTCACGGCCTCACATCACCATGCACATCCATTTTTTGTTAAAAAAAAAAATCCTAGCCTCATCCTCAACCTCGCCGGTTATCCATTCGGCCCCATTCACAAACCTCGCTGTCACGCCCGTCCTCTGACTCCCCTTCACCGAGATCCTCTTGCACCGGGCCACAGGGAGCCAGTAGCGCGGGCTCCTACTCCACGCGACGCTGTCATGGCTCTCCGACGCTTTTATTGCCACAGGGCCTGTTCGGCTGGTATTAAAGCCGGCTGAAACTATTTTGATTGTGAGAGAAAAATACTGTAGATTCTAACTGATAAGCTGACTGAAAAGATCAAGCCAACAGGCCCGTGTTAGAGAAATGGCGCTAGTTTCAAATTTTAGTTTGCTTTATTTGTGTAAAAATGGAGCCAGGGTTTATTTTGGCATTAAGTGGTGTTTGCCGCCAAGTGAAATGCATGTTTTGGTGTCCTCTTTGATTTATTCAAGGCAAAACAACGCACTCACGCGCGACAGTGAAAAAGTGGATGTGAACGGTGATTTATTTAATGTAAAAAAATCGGTGATGTGTGGCACGCGTGTCTTCTTCACATAAAAAATACAGTATTGATGGCATATCCATCCAAATATGCAGAAAATAAATCATTGCTATGTAGGGGTATATAGGTCTTTTGCCATTTGCATTGATTCCTAATAAGTCCAATCCTCCAACAACCTGTCTTCTTCTCCGCCGTGACACCCCCTCCCTCGCGGCCTCTGCTCCACCGCACGCACCCCTCCGCTGCCGTCACCTCCCTCACGCATCCACCACCCGCAGCAAGCGGCTTGCCGCCTCCCGTCGCCGTCTCCTCGACCTTGCCCTCCCCTAACCACACAATAGCCGTCAGTGAACTCTGCCCCGATGCCCTCGTCACTACTGGAGACTGCCTCTTTGCCGAGGGTCTCAAGCCCTCGGCAAAGGCCCATTAACCCTCGGCAAAGGCTTTGCCGAGGGCGGCCCTCGGCAAAGAGCTCTCGGGGAATTTTGAGTCGGCAAAGAGGGTTGCCGAGGGCCCTTTATCGGGCACTCGGCAAAGCCTTTGCCGAGGGCTGGAGCGGCACTCGGCAAAGAAAAGCAGCCGTCACGGCACCGGCGCCTGGGACGGACGGAGTCTTGCCGAGGGCCGTCTTCGGGGGCCCTCGGCAAAGAATTATTCTTTTTTTTTAAATCTTTGCCGAGGGCCTCCAACCATGGCCCTCGGCAAAGAAATGTTGCAGAATTTTTCCAAAAAATCTTTGCCGATGGCCCGTAAAGAATTATTCTTTTTTTTTGAAAAATCTTTGCCAAGGGCTTCCCCGCAGGCCCTCGGCAAAGAAATTTTATTTTTTTAAAAAAGTCTTTGCCGAGGGCCTCCAACCATGGCCCTCGGCAAAGAAATGTTCCAGAATTTTCCCAATGAATCTTTGCCGAGGGCAATGGGACAGCCCTCGGCAAAGAGGACCCTTCTTTGCCGAAAAATTTTGGTCATTGCCCCGGCCAAAGAGGCGAAATTTAATTTTTTTGTTTTTTATTCCATCGATATAAGCATTTATATATATATATATATATATATATATATATCAACCATCATATATATATATATATATATATATATATATATATATCACACATAACCCATTTTTTCACAATTAAAGCTACCAACCAACCAACCTCAACGATCTGACTTTAAAAGCCTGCAACAAATGTAGTGGGTTATGGCAGAAAATAATATCAAAATTAAACTGGAAGGTATTTGTCATGAGGACTTCGTTTTCTATTGCACAGAAGCCCGACAAGGCCATGCGATTTTGCCACTAAGTGCTTCTCTTCTCTGATTTAAGAGGTACTCATATCACTTGCCAAAACAAATAAAAGTACCAGCTGAGCGTCTGAGCTGCAGGCACACGGCGAAACAATTCAGAAACGCATAGCAGCAAGTGATCACTTGCACTTCTTGCAGGTGGTACAGATGGAGGCATGCATGCATTGTAGTGCAGTCACAAGGTCACCTGAACTGAAGCCTCCTGTACATGTACTCCTGGAGCAAGACAAGAGCATGAATTAGCTAGCCACCAAAGATGATAATGTAACTGGGAGAATAATCGTGAGCTGAAAAAGTTTCACTGTCAAGAAAATTTATGCAGAAAGCGAAATTAAAGCATGGGGAAATTCTTCCAGGCAATTCAGAAAACCACGCTGACCAAGCAAGCATATAAAAGTCCATGACAACGGAAGCAAAAGGAAGGAAGAAAAAAAAATGGTGTATCTATGAGTTAAATCAACTTGAGAATATCTAGACATGTGGATCACAAGATCAGTAAGCTAAGGTTGCCTTAATCTCAGTTCAATATCCCTTCAAAAAAAGGATAATAAGTTTATTATGTCCCTAGAACTAAATCATTGACCTAAAAAAAGAATGAAAGCATGAATCAGTTCTTTAGCAAAAAACATAACCACAAGATGCAAGCAACCACAGGCAACCTCTACTGAAAAAATCACTACAATAGAGAGAAGATTTCAAATTTGAGCTAATTATCATACAGAGTACAGGACCATCCTGCTTGTTGCATATTAGAAAAGGGAATGGACAGGATCTATTTACCTGTATACCATTGCACACACTGGTTGCAGTACCCTAATTATTAGATAACCATGTACCCTTTTAACACTAATTAAAACATTTTCAATAATGATTCTCTTTCTGTATAGCAAACCATCTTTAAATGATTCTTAAATTATCCTAAATTATTCCTTATGCACACATAAAATTATTCTCATCTATTAAGCGCTCTTTTTGTTTTGCAACTCCAGCAACTCCAAGGCACTAAACTGGTAGGCGCTAAGCTATATGGATTACAAGAGTCAAAATACATGTGAGTGGCACAAATAAGTAATCTGAAGCAAGACTGGCTAGGCAAGTCAAGGTCAGCAAAGACTCCAAACATGCCCTGTATCACCAGCCATGTAAACACGTCAACCCCTCCTATCTTCTGTCCTCACCATCTGAAAAATTATGCACCTCATGTGAGTTAAGAATTTCCTACTGTTTACAACAGTGTGCAGGGGAAAGGATATTTATGCTAGTGTCTTGTATATGGTGGAAAATTCTCAGACAACAAACTGCATCCTGATAAAAAATAGAACAAAAGTACAGAACACTTTCTAATATGTCAATTGTAGACTGAGTCAAAATTTGCAAGCAATTTTATTGAATTAAAGAGCTACTTTGCTAGCTGTCTAGGCTACTGAATGATAATTCATTGTTGGTATATCTCAACACGGATATCCACATACTCATCGATCATCTTGGCCTCCCCATTGCCCTCTTATCTGAAATGTCAGTCTCCTGAAATAGGCAACAAAAACAGGATCAATGAATCTTCAGATAAGTAGCGATCATTCCTTTTTCCGAACTGAAAGATGATCAATGATACATACCTTAAGCCCTTTTTATGACCATACAATTTTGTATGCACATGTGTGACAAATCTAAGTAGAAGCAGACCCAATGCATCCAGTACCAATGTATTTTTGAAGAAACGAACCAACTGGAAGGAAAACAATGTACTATACTTCACGTTGGCAATTTGGCAATAGGTGGACAGTTTGGTCAGGAATACCTACAGCTGAAGTGCATACTAACATCTATGGAAGCTAATTTTTTTTAATCTTCAAAAACAAACATGCATACTAACATCTAACGAAACTACTCAAAGTCCCGTTTATGGCTAAATCCAGTGCAAGGCATGAACTGAATGTATACCTTGTCATCCACGTAGCCACCGCTGCTATTGCCAGCGAGCGTCTCCAGGCGGGAGCTGGGCACCGCCACCGCGGGCGAGGTCGGCGCTGGGCGGACGCG